AGGAGATGTATTGCTGTACCAGCTTTAGTATTTGCTAATATGTTCTCTTTAGGGTAAGCACTATGGGGTTATATGCTTTTCAACTATGAGATCTTGCAAACAGTAGTGCCACTGGTTAAAACATGAAACTGTGTGAGCCACAAATATAAGTTGATTCTTAGGAGCCATTGAATTATATCCTTTTATGACCATACTTCTTGTTCATGTGGAATTTGAATGTAATTTAATATTATTTTATGATGGAAAAAGAAAGTATGTGCCATATTAATTATATGATAAGCATATTGTCTTCATCTTGAAAACATTATCATCTAAGCACCTGAAAAAGCAAAGGTCTCTGCAAGTATGGCACAACTTACATACTTGATCCAAGTTAATTTGCCAGTATAAACTTAAATTTGGACAGCATGTATGCAAGTGCTGTATATGGAGAAGTGTGGTATTTCCAAGTTACTTTACCCTGTGATTAATGAAATTGAATGGTAGTTAGACAAACTTGGGATTTGGTGATCTTCTATTCTAAGTGGACAGACCAAGGCTTTAAATGTTTCTGCCAGAAGTTATTACTTCTTCAAATTTAGTCTGACCATCCAGTAATTCCATGCAAGCAGACCTAAACTACCGGCAGCCTACACAGACTGAATTAAGATGGGTCTGTAAGATATCAGATGTGTTCATAGTTGTTTCTTAGTTGGTAATCAAAATAGCTCTGTTGACATTAGTTAATACTGATCAGAAATGTTCGCTTAGTAAAAATGGGAAATAATATTTTGAGAGACAAAATCTTTCAGAACATGATTTTTAACGTTTTCATCTTAGAGGTCTTTCACTTCTTTGGTTAAGTTAATTTCTAGGTATTTTTGGGGGGAGCTATTACAAATGAGTTGCTTTCCTGATTTCAGCCTCACTCTTCTCATTATTAGCATACAGAAAAGCCATTGATATTTGAGGGTTAATTTTATACCCTGCTACTTTGCCAAAGTTTCAGACCAGCTCAAGTAACTTGGGAATGGGTTCTGTGGAATTCTTTAAATACAGGAGCATGTCATCTGCAAAGAAGGAGGGTTTTACTTCATTTTTCCCTATTTGGATTCCCTTTATATTTTTATCTTGCCTTATTGCACTAGCTAGGTATTCTTTTTTTAAAATTTTTATTGAGATTAAGTGATTATATAAATTTCACAAATTTCACAGTATTGTTAGATAGTGATACTTAAAGTACAAACACATTTTAACCTTCATGAAGCAAATTGTCATTATCATGGTCTATAATGTTTGTGAATTCTATGAGCTTTGACAATACAACTATTTCTTCCACATCAGGTGATATGTACATTTCTTTCCTTTTGCTTAGTGTAAGCTGTTCCCTCTTTCCCTCTCATTCCCTCCCATTCTAGCTAGACATTCTGATACTGTATTGAAGAGGAGTAGAGAGAGTGGACATCCTTGTCTTGTTTCTGAATTTAGAGGAAATGGCTTTAGCTTTTTCACTATTAAGTATAATGCTAGCTGTAAGTTTGTCATACACAGCCTTTATTATATTGAGGAATGTTCTATGGATTCCTAGCTTCTCCAGAGCTTGCATAATAAAGGGGTGTTAGATCTTGTCAAATGCTTTTTTCTGCATCTATTGAGATAATCATGTGTTCTTGTCCTTGCTCCTGTTGATATGATGAATTACATTAATTGACTTGTGTATATTGAACCAACTTTGCATCCCTGGAATGAATCCTGTTTGATCATAGTGTATGATTTTTTTTTGATGAATTATTGAAGTCAATTGGCCAGAATTTTGTTGAGAAGTTTTGCATTGATGTTCATCAAAGAAATGGGTCTATAGTTCTCTTTCTTGGATGAGTCCCTGTCTGTTTTTGGGATGAGAGTTATGCTGGTTTCATAGAATGAGTTTGGTAGTGAACTTCCGATTTCAATTTCATGAGATCCCATTTAGTAAACATAAAAAGCAGAGTCCTTGGTGAATTTTTCAAATGGGAAAACTCGGTGTTGAGTAGAAGGACATATTCTACAAAGACATGAAAATCATAGATACTATACCTTATATTTTTGGGTGAAAAGGAAAGATCTGATAAAGTTATTAAGTAGCTTTACCTAAAATGCCAATTAAATTCAATCTTCTTTCTTAATATTTCTTTATTCCAGGATGGAAGTATTGTTGTCATTTTTGTATTTGCATCTAGAACTGATTGGCCTCCATCCTAATAATTGTACTGTTTAATTTGTAATAAGGAAATAACTCTTTTCTCCAGAAGCCCTAGCACACGAATAATTTTGTGTTAAAGTGAAATTTATGGTTTCTTTTACAGCTGTAACATGTTATGAAGATCTTGGACTCTTTGCATTTGGATTACCTGGAAAGGTAATTTTATTTTCTTCTCCTTGTGTACAAAATCCAAAAGGACTTTTTATACTTTTTTCGTGTGTGTGTGTGTGTGTGTGTGTGTGTGTGTGTGTGTACGTGTGTGTGTGTACGTGTGTGCTGCTCCTGGGGTTTGAACTTGGGGCCTAGGCATTGTCCTTGAGCTTTTTTTGCTCAAGACTAACCCTCTATTACTTGATCCACAGTTCTACCTCCAGCTTTTTTTGGCAGTTAATTGGAGGTGAAAGTCTTATGGACTTTCCTGCCTGAGCTGGCTTTGAACTGTGATCCTCAGGTATCAGCCACTTGAGTAGCTAGAATTATAGGCATGAGCCACCAAAGCCCAGCTTTCTTTCTGTTTTAAGAAACAGACAGATGAGCCAGATATAGTGATGTAACCAGGAGGCTGAGGCAGGAGGATTGGGAGTTTGAGGCTAATCCAGCCTACATAATAAGTTACAGTTGCCTGGTCTATATAGCAAAACCTTATCTCTAAAAACAAAGCAAAACAAAGAAAAAATAATGGCAACAGGCAAAGAGGGGAAATTGATTTGCCCTTCCTAAAAATACTTTACTAAATTAATTCAGTACTCAAATGTTCATGTATTTTATCACAGTGAGGAAGAGCAATGTCTTGATGGGTTTTAAATAGTAACAGTAGCCCGTTTTAAGTTTCCCTTATTAAGTTGGTCATACTCTTTGAATAAATCCTCATCAAGACAGAAGAAAGTAGTGTAGAACTAAATTGTAGCAGTATAGAAATTACAAATTACAAATATCTTTTAGGCATTTTGCTGGTTAACTGGAGATGAACTTGCATAGACTGCCCTGGTTGGCTTTGGACCTCAGTCCTGCCTGTCTCAGCCTCTTGAGTAGTTAGGATTGTAAGCAAGAGCCATTGAAGTCTGGCTTAACCATTAAAAAAAAAAAAAAGAAATTGATTCGCTGCTGCTGCTTCCTCTGCTGCTACTGCTGCTTCTTTCTCCTCCTCCTCCTTTTCTTCCTCCTCTTCCTTTTCCTCCTTGTCCTTCTCATCTTCTTCCTCCTCTTCCTTCTTTCTTCTTCTTTTTTTTTCAGTACTGAGGTTTCAACTCAGTGTTTCCTGCTTGCAAGACAGATCTTCTACCCACTTGAATTATATTCCTCCAGCCCAAGATTGTAAAAATTGAATTGAGTTACTTACCAGATAAAATATTTATTGCACAACTGTCATACCATGTACTGCAGTAGGTACTAAAGACATAGACACCTGGCTTTCCAGACTTAAATGCTTGGATTCTGCCAGAGTAGAAAAAGTAATTGTTATTCAGATATTATTGTGTTATCTTAAGGAAAATAAATCAAAACCACACATTTATCAGTTGTATTAAAGACAGTATACACAGTCCAAAATAGTCTTTTCACAAGTAATTGTGATGATTTGGAACTAATTTTTAAGTAGGTTGAGATGAGTTCCTTCTGGAAACATTAAATGGCAAGGACCACCTTTTTTGGGGGGCAGGGGGCTGATCCTGGGGCTTGAACCCTGGGCCTAGGCTTTGTCCTTCACCTTCTTTTGCTCAAGGCAAGCACCACATTTCTAGAGACACCTTTTCAAAATGTCAAATCATTAGATCTCTTCTGCAGTCCCCAAGGATTCTAGGTCCCAGATCATTTCCCTTATAGCAAATGCTTTGTCACTGATGAAAGTTCTGGTAGAGGCAAGATGCTAGTTCACTCCAAACATTAGATGGTGATTGCAATCCATTAACATTTGAATGATAAACAGGCTCAAGTGGAAATACAGTGCTTAACCATTTCCTCTGATCACATCTGATTACCAAAATTTGGACAATGTTCTCCATAAGTCTTATCAAAGAGCAGAAAATAGCAAGCCTGCAGACTGAACTCAGTCCTCGGACAAATTTTGTTCAGCTCAAATCTTTTTAAAAATTGTTATTTACTTTATAGTTACTTTAAAGTGCTAGTGGGATTACAGTGACATGAATCAGGGAATAAATTGCACATCCCCTTAATACAGTGTCTTCCTGTCCGCTCAGATACGTTGTATTTTTAGCTGGTTACCAACTAATCACGAAAATTTGAAGGAAAACAAAGCCCCATCATTTCTCCGTGTTCCCACATGCCATCAGTTGGCCAGAGCTGAGTAGCTTCTGCAGCTCCAGTGTGAAAGGAATTCTTTAGTATACTACAGTCCCGGCCAGTTCCTGTAATCTTACTCAGCTTACTTCAAGTGACTGGGTTGGAAACATTTTGCCTAGGTTTTCAGTCAGAGAATGTTTGGGATCTCAAGTTTTCTGTAGAAAACTTTGGGGTTGGGCTGTTCCAAGATAGGCATATGCCACCAGGATGCACTCAGAAGAGTGGATCATTGCCTTTGACAGAAAACTGTATTGCTAAAGCAGGGTGGTAAAGCCAGAAGAAATGGGTTATAAAAGCCCCTACAACAATTCAGTGTCAATTTTTATATGTTGATAATCACCATACTAGTTGTTAACTATTCAAAATTGACTGCCAAGAAAACTTTGAAAAGTATTCTTTATAGTAACTCTGGAATTACTAAAGAAAGGCATTTTATGTAATGTATATTAATTTTATGTATTATAAATAGCTTCCAATATCTCTTCACTTAATACTTTGCAACTGTTTTGTGGTATTAAATTTTAATAAGTACTGATTTTTTTGCATTATTCCCCTTTAGTCATCTGAATATATTTATTCTCTTATAGGTTGTGGTGGCAAGCACCATAATAATTCAGAATATTGGAGGTAAGCAATTGAAAATGTTTCATTTATGCATAGATTAATGGAGTAACTGCTTTTCTCTTTTTTTTTTTTGCCTTATTACAGGTCTATTTAGAAAACTGAAACTCTGGACACAGTAGCCCTGTGTGTTGGACTTATTGTTCTTTCTTGGATCTTTTTTAACAATGAGTAATAGGCTTTTAAATTCAGTTTTAGCTAAACCTTGATTGCAGCCTCATTATTAGGTTGGAGGCACACCTCTAGGAAATTTGTTTTCTATGATTGGGGTGATGATGATATACAGTGTGGAAGAACTCTCCAGATTATTCTGAGATATTTCTCCTTTATTTTTGTCCTCTGAACTATGTCCACTGGTGGGAGTGGTAATCCATAGGCTGTATGCACATTAAATTGATGGTAAATTAAAAATGATCAAGTGGTTTAAAAAAATAATGATCCAGGGCTGGGAAGGTGGCTCAGTGGTAGAGCACTTGCCTTGCATGCTCGAGGCCCTGGGTTTGATTCCTCAGCACCATATAAACAAAAAGCCGGAAGTGGCGCTGTGGCTCAAGTGGTAGAGTGCTAGCCTTGAGCTGAAGAGCTGAGGGACAGCGCCCAGGCCCAGAGTTCAGGCCCAGGACCGGACCCCCCCCCCAAAAAAAAATAATGATCCATGGGGGCTGGGAAGTTGGCTCAGTGGTAGTGCTTGCCTCATATGCATGAGGCCCTGGGTTTTGAATTTTTCAGCACCACATAAACAGAAAAAGCTGGAAGTGGCGCTGTGAATAGAGTGGTAGAATGCTTGCCTTGAGCTGAAGAGCTGAGGGACAGCACCCAGGCCGAGTTCAAGCCCCATGACCCATTAAAAAAAAAAGATCCAAATTATCAGAACGACATTGAAATAAAAATTACTGTTATTGACAGTTGAGCAAATGTATAAAACATTTAAATTCAAAATGTATGTATGTTGTAAAGAGGTTACAATAGAGCTGAACAGTATCTTAATTTCCTAAAACTATTGACTGGAGTGTTCAGTAAATGCTATTAGTATAATAAATTAGTATAGGGCTGGGAAGTTGGCTCAGTAGTAGAGTGCTTGCCTTGCATGCATGAGGCCCTAGGTTTGATTCCTCAGCACCACATAAGCAGAAGAAAAAAAAAAGCCAGAAGTGGCACTGTGGCTCAAGTGGTAGAGTGCTAGCCTTGAGCTGAAGAGCTGAGGATAGCGCCCAGGCCCAGAGTTCAGGCCCCACGACCGGACCAAAAAAAATAAAAAAAGAAATTAGTAATAAACTAGTACAATAAATTAATGTACTAAATCCACAAGAAAGGTTGACTTTTATATTGGGTCTTCTACATGATTATATTATCAAAGAAAGCTTTTTTATATTTGTTTATTTATTTATTTATCAGTTGTAGGGGTTGATCTCAGGGTATGGGTGGTGGCTTTTTCACTCAAGGCTAGTGCTCTACCCGTTTGGGCCACAGCTCTACTTCTGGTTTTCTGGCAGATAATTGGAAATAAGCATCTCATGAGCTTTCCTACTTGGCCTGGCTTTGACCCATGATCTTTAGCTCAGCCTCCTCAGTAGCTAGGATTATAGGCATGAGCCACCTTAAATCAATTTTAGATGTTAACAATCGCTAGTCAAATTGCTAGTGATCCAACAATTAAGACTAGAATACAAATCATGAACAATGAGTACCTCTTCAACCTAAAAAGCAGGTAATTTTTTTCTTTTAGTTCTTTGAGGTAGGGCATTGATCAAGCCCAATGTAATTTCTCTTTCCAAATGGAATTCTGGCACTTATGTAAGAATAAGGAATTAACAACATCCACTGGAAAGATCCACCAGACATCCCTGACTAGGTTAACATGTCAACTGAAAAGAGAAAATGAAAATTATTATTTTTTACATGCAACCATTTAAAATAAAGATGACACTTTTAATACAGTTCAACTTAAGAGATCTGAGCTATTTCACATTAAGTACTATTCCATCAAATGCTATCTTCATGAATTTCTTAGTCAAGGAAAAAATTAACATTCCAGAATGGTGCTTGCCATTGTTTTGGAATTCTGAATATCAATGTTTTAATTTTTTCAATTTTCATGAAAAAATGTTACTGAATGAGAAAAATGCTGTCTTGGATGTCTTAAAAATAATTTTCTCCCCATACACATTACTTCATGCTTTACTCTAGAAATGAGAAGAACTTGTATCTTTCTTTAGAGAATTTTTTAGTGGCATTGATTTTAAGACCTGATTTGGAATAGTTTAGCAAATATGTATTATTACTTCTGAATATGAACATAACTTTTTTTCTATTTATAGATTCTAAGTTCTATCATGATTTGTTTGAACTAGATTGAACTATTATCTGACAATTTATGTAGAATTTTCAGTTCAGGAATTTGGAAACCTGAACTGAAACTTGTGGTGGTGGCACAATGCCCACTCTTGTGTATTCTGTGTTTTCACCTGGATTCCTTCTTTGTTCTCTAATCTTGTTTTGACATGATTGTATGTCAGCATTTGCTGTTATTAGATTGATGTTATCTTCATATATACTTCTCTCTCATCCTCCATGTTGTAAGCTCTCCAGGGCAAGGATTATGTCTCATTTCTTTTTTTTACCCCCAGCATCTAACACAATACCTGTAACTTGATAAACTGAATGGAGCCAATATAATTTATATGGCTATTTCCAAATACTTTTTAATATTTGGGCTATATTTATTAAGAGGAGAAAAGGGAAACGCTAGCTCCATTACTAGCTTTGAATATTTGAAAGACTGAACATTAAATACAATAGAAACTAGCCTAGTTTATTATTGTTCCAGATTGTAGAACTGTTTCTAATGTTTAGAAGTCTTTAGTGAATCTAGTTTGGATTCTGTATCTGGAATACTGTCTTGGCCTGTTTTGTGCTACTATGACAAAATGCCATAAACTGTGAGCGATTTAGTTTTATTAGCATACATTGTACAAGAAGGGTCTCATTGTGATTGTATCTATGCATGAATACAATTTATCATGATCAAACTTACCCTCTTATTCTTTACCCCACTATCCCCTCCTTAAGACAATTGCAAAAGCTTTCATCATTCTATTTTCTTATTATTTTCTTATAATATTTTTGTTTTATTTTTATTTTTTTGCCAGGACTGGAGCTTGAATCAGAGCCTTACACTCTCACTTGGCTTTTTTTGCCTGTGATCTGGTGCTCTATCATTGGAGCCATATTTCCAGTCTTTCATTTTTTTAATTAACTGGAGATTTGAGCTCAAGGACTTTGCCCAGGCTAAGAACTGTGGTCTTTTAGGTTTCAGTCTCCTGTTTAGCTAGGACTACGGGCTTGAGCCACCAGCACCCAGCTTGTATTTTCACATATGCAGCCATATTCATCTTTATTCAGCATCTTGATTAGCCCTCTTCCCTTTTACCTACCCCTAGACTAGGTAATTTATAAGAGCAGAAACTTATTTGACTTTGGAGTTGAGAAAGCCTAGGATTAAGGGACCGTATCTGGTGAGGGCCTTCTTACTGGATCATAACATGGAAGGTATAACATGGTAAAACTGAGTGAAATATCAAATTTAAAGCCATAAGCTCTTTTATAATGGACATAAATCCATTTACAGGGGTGGAGCCCTTAAACATCTGCCATCAGGCCCCATCTCCCAACACTTGCATTGGGGACTAAGTTTCTAATTCCCATGGCTTCAGGAACCCTTTTCAAGTGGTAGCACAAACCCTTGTAGGTAACTTGTGATAATGAGGATGGCCTATACTCCTTTGAAGGTGTTTCTTATCCCTGAAAACTAGGTGTAGTAGTATACTCTTGTAATCTCAGCACGTGAGAGGTAAACACAAGACAATCACAACTTCAAGTCCAACCTAAGGTGCATAGGGAGACTCTGTCTCAAAAATGTTTGTTAGTTGTGGGGCTTGAACTTGGGGCCTGGCTGCTGTCCCTGAGCTCTTTTTGCTCAAGGCTAGTGCTTTACCACTTTTTGAGCCACAAAGTCACTTCCAGTCTTCTAGTGATTAATTGGAGATAAAAGTCTCATGGACTTTCCTGCTCAGCTGCCTCAGATCTCAGCCTTCTGAGTAGGTAGGATTACAGGTGTGAGCCACCAATGTCTAGTCCAGAGTGTCAAACTTTTGGGAGAATTTGCTTTGCTTATATGATGCCATGGGTTCAGTATTCATCACGGTAAAACAAAAAATAAGGAAAAATCTCCAGAACTGGTTGACCTATTATCACAGAGTTCTAGTGAATAATTTGGTATTTGGTGGTCTATAAATCATCAGTTCTTTGAACTATATTTGTTTGTTTGCTTGCTTATTTTAGAACTTTAAAAGAAACTGTCAGGGGCAGGTGGCTTATGCCACCTAGTTACTCAGGAAGCTGAGATCTGAGGATTGTAGTTCAAAGCCAGATGCAGCAGAAATGTCTGTGAGACTTTTACCCCCAATCTGCCAGCAAAAAGCTGGAAGTGGAGCTGTGGCTCAAGTGGTGGCTCTAACTTTGAATAAAACAGCCAAGGATACGCACCAGGCCCTAAGTTCAAGCCCCAGTACTGACAAAAAAAAAAAAAGTAGAAGCAGTCACAGCAATTTTTAATGTGCCTTAAATTTGGAAAAGCTGGGAATGCTTATTTAATTTTTAAAATGATGTCCTGAGGATTTTCTTCACATTGGTTAAACATTTATTTATTGAGAGCCCACTGAGTAATAACTGAAAACATACTTTCAGAGATTTTTCTTTTCTTAGCCAGATGTGCATAAATTATTTTTTCATTACAATAGAATTTGAAGGTTACTCTTGTGAGCAGAACACTGAGTTGGTCATCAGGTACTTTAAATTCTGTCTACTCTAGTCTCTGTCATTGAATTGACATATTTTGGGGGAAATTTCTCACTTATTTTCCTGGCTTCAGTTTCCCCTTTGTTAGGTTATTGGAGTGGAACGTGAAGAGCTTAGGATCCTTTCTCATCCCAAAAATGTGGATTCTA